ACACAATTAATTACTAGATGCAAGCGAACAAAAAATGTCTGTCAAAATTGTCTCAGAGTTGAGCTTGAGGGTTATAGACTTAACACATGCCATAATTTTCCTGTGAAAGTAACCTCGTTGAGTTTACCTCAACACCAGTGCCACTGGCGGTATGTGATGGTCATGCTAACTATAACAATGACCCTGGCATTACTTTTTATTTACAAAAGAACATGATATAAATAAACCACAAAAAGTCTCCACTACACTCCTACTTCGACAACTTGAAAACAAAATAGTATGTTTATCACATTTACTGCGACAAAGTCATTTAGATTCGAAAGTTCCGTTAAATTTGTGTCATTAGTACCCTCGGTACTATAAGGCGAATCTGATCCCCGTATCTTCTCCCCTTCAGAGGAAAAATAAATTCTTTAAGTTTTCCAGCTCCTCCAAGATTTGCCGTTGGTCTTCTTCCATCATGCTGATAGCAGACAATTCGTCGGCAATGTCCAATTCATCGTTTGCCTTTGCCATTGAAACACTACACACGCCGCTGATATTGGCCAAATCCTCTGTTCGAACGATAAAATAAGATGCCATTGGGTCACGAGACTCGTCGATGGTACTGGTCAATTTTGCGGTTTCAACAATAACATCTTTTCAATCCTCGGTTCTGATCTTTTTGCTCGTTTCACTTTTCAAAAACGCTCTTTGCTCCAATTGAGCCCACGACTCTACTGATGCTGTTTCCTCCTGCGGTACACTATCCTGGTCAGAAATTGTCCGGTGACTCGTAACTTGAACTCTTTGCAAAATCGGACCGGATACCCCTGAATTCGAATCAATACGTTCCAGTAACTCCTGGCCTGCTCTGTCTATCGCCTCCCGCGTTCATTGAAACTCCGCTTGTGCAGTGTCTATTTTTTCCCAGTGCTGGAGTTTTATGGCTGTTTCGAACTATAGCCTCTAGTCTTTGGTGAAAAACCTGTGCTCTGTATCCATCGATAGTGTTTTCTTGCTATCCGTAACCGGAAATACTTCTTTTGGTGTGCTTGACGATCCTGCATAGCTTGTCCAGGACATCATCAGCTTGTCCAGGACAAACGAACAGAGACTGATATGTCTTCTTGCATAGAGTCCTCGCCCCAAAAGAATAGGCTAGAATAATAGGCTAGAAGGGAAGACTGTAGAATTGGCGATTCTACTGTCTTACATGCTATAGTAACCTGAGCGTAAGACTGATTCTTCACTAAGTTAAGTAGTACAGCAAACAAAGGGTAAAGTTCGAAATAGTTCAATCTTCGAAGATATCGTCCCTCCTATGCCAGAAAACAAAGTTTGACAAAATCGGCGAACCCCCCCCCCCCCACCCCAAATCGGAACTAAGAAAGGTAATGTTATGAAAATCAGAGGAGCGATACTAGAGATGATTTGACCCGGGCGTGCAAAAATCGGGAGCCGTCAGAGCCTTGGGGGGCAAGTGATAACGGTCCCGGGAAGTGTAATTGGCCCTATCAGAATTCGGAAAATAGCGGTGGTATTAGGCTCAAATTCTAGCATGTTGAAGGCCTAGTTACGGGAAGCTTAGGTTTGGAGCCCCAGACCCCTAAATCCCCCACTTCCGGTTTTGTGCCCTTAGTAAAAAAACGCACCCCTAACTTCCTGAAGTCGTTTCTCGGCTACTGGTGAGCGCAGGGTGCTGAAACTTGGAGGGATGATAGGTAATGGCAAAATACATCTTGTAATATAATTTGAATCAAATCCGGGTGTTGGACCGAAGGCTTTTAGCACTTGAGAAAACACTACCCTAGACCGGAAATAGGCAATTAACGCGAAATGATGAACGGTGGCAAAGTATTTCATTGAGGCAATGGACATAAGATACAGACCCCGAATGAAGACCCCTTGTAATGAAAACCCTCCAGCGACTCTTTCCGGTGTTAATTGGCTTTTTCCGGAAAAAAGGATACTGGACCTTAGAAATGGGATAACTTGTGAAGTATTAATGGGATGTGAATTGAACTTAGTAACCGGAATAAGGCAATTAACGCGAAATGATGAACGGTGGCAAAGTATCTTATTGCGGCAATGGACATAAGATACAGACCCCGATTGAAGACCCCTTGTGAGTGAAAACCCTCCGGCGACTCCTTCCGGTGTTAATTGACTTTTTCCGGAAAAAGGATGCTGGACCGTAGAAATGGGATAACTTGTGAAGTATTAATGGGATGTGAATTGAATTTAGTAGCCACATGGGACCTTGAACCCAAATTTGGAAGTTTGACCCCGGAAGTTTGACCTTTGGGCGTTTGACCCCAAAATTGCATGGAAAACCCCGAGATAAACACCGGAAAGCGGCGTATTCTCCAGCCCAACCCCTGGAAATGAGAATGGGTCGCCTTGCTAAAAGTTGGGTGGAAAAATCATTAGTGGGAATTAGAGCAGACGCAGATAGAGATACAGTCTTACATTTCAACCTTGGAGTAGAGGATTTAATTCAAAATGGACTTGGTAAACATTGGGTTCAGCTTAGCTTGGCGAGGAATCTATTAATAGCAATTCAACTAGACTAAAGAAAAGTAGTCCCAGAGCATTCTGATAGTAATAGGACCGCAGCATGAGAGTAAAGTTTCCTAAATAGTACGAATGGACGGGGATTTTACTTGGCTTCCCGGTGGCGACTTTCTGGTTTGTTTTGACCGCTAATATACAAACTACGTTCCTTTGATAGCTAGAAAGTCGGGATTGGAATAGAGTACAGGTAGAAATTTTAGATGCTTGGAATCAATTAGCTACCAATGAAAAGGGTCACCCCCACCCTTGGGAGGTCGGACCGTTAACGGGATAAATAAAAGAAAGACCTTGGGAGGGTTACTAAGTAAACATAGCATGGTTTGGAGGCTGAATTGAACTCGAGAGCTGAAGTTCACAGAGTCCACGAATTGGTTGATTAGAATCGTATGACATTTATTTGCTTGGTCAAATTGTGACAGCTACCGCATACCGGGTATCTAATAAGTGTGAAAAGATTGATAAAAGAAACCGAAGTTGGCACGTGGTAGAGTTGACAGGAGGAGGCATATAGTCATAAAATATGTGCGGACGGGTGATTTAGGCGGATGTCAGGCGAATGTCAGGGGATCGATAGGGATGGCGTGATTTAAGTGAAACTAAGCGTAAAGAAAGATAAGGAATTGGAGGCTACCGGATAGCCTTTAAGAGTCAGAACAGTTGTTGGCTACTATTAAGAGTAGTTGATTCTCAATCAGAGAAGAGAACAATGATTGCTAGTGAGCAAGTTGCACCGGAACTCGAGTTTAGTACCGGGTTGAAATAGTTTTGCGAGCGAGTTCCGCTGAAACCCGAGTTTAGTACCGGGTTGAACTAGTTGTGTCGCTGCTCTGCTAGAGTAGGCGAGTTTTGAACCGAGTCAACCGAAAACTGATGAGCGATTGAACGGAACGGAGGCAGGATTCAATATAGAAGTTGCTAAATAGTAGTGAGCTCATTAAGGGCACTGTAATTTGTTTTATTTCCTTTGCAATTGAGAATTTACTCATTGTGCCCACGATTTGCTGAACTAGCTAGAAGCGTAAAAAGAGAGCCTAAAAGAGCAGAAATTAAGGGGGAACTTGCGTAATCCTTTGATCGGCCGATTTAGTTTAACCACCAACATAACCCTTTCGGGATTGTGGATCATATCGTGTTTTGGTGTCCCCCGCTAATACACGGTATAAAGGGAAAAAACTCTGCGGCCGTTAAGTAGAGTGAAAGCGTGCTTAGAGGAGACGACTCCCCGGAACAAGAATCTACAGTTTCTGTATTCCCTACTTCTCTTTCGTAATTTATTCTCGTCGTCTATCCGGTCCTCTAATTTTGGTTCTGGTGGTTTGAATGTGTGGGTAGCTTAATTTCGTAGTAGTAGTTTTACAGCTATTTTTTGTTTCGCAAATTTTGATATTTGTAATCTAGCAATCCATTTTGCCCACTCTACTGATGGTTCCGTAGTATGGCGATGCCAGAACGGCGGAATGTTCTTGGGGTTTTTTGGTCGTTACCTACTGATTGCGCTTTGTTATGCTCTAAATATAGCTTGTAAGTAAACCTGGTTATCTACGCCAGTTGGAAGTTCCTTCCACTTGGTTTTTATGAATTCGAGTAACAAGAGATGTATTATAAAGTGTATTGTTAAGATACACATAATCAACGATGAATACGCGTTTAGCATGCACTGTCACCTAATTGACTTGTCCTTTATTTTTATTCTTGACATTAATTAACATAGGATGTGTGTTTAGGATGGATGACAGTGACTAAAACGATACAACGCATATTGAGTCTTTCTTAAGTTAACGCCAATTTTGTCATTTTTTGCCGGATTTTGGTTTCCCTGAAAATACTTTTTTGAGCCTACATTCCTACCGTTCCAGTTCAAATCCGCGGGTTTTTCAGGAGTGGATCTAGAAGTTTCTTGAGAGGAGGGGGCGGATTTTCGAAACTTTTTCGGAATTTTTTCATGCTTTTTTTAGGTCGAGCAATTGGTTTTCTGGGCGCTCCCAGAGAAAAAATAAAAACCTTGTTTTGACAAAACAGGATTGATCGACCAAAAATATTAGGGTCAATCCGCCCAAAATGGATGTCATAAACTAATACCACAGAGAGGAGCCTATCTTTAGTGAGAGGGTCGAATCTCTGAAAAAAAAAAGGGCGTACCCCTAAATCCGCCTCTGGTTTTTTACATCACCCATTTAAAAATGCAGCTGGTTACAAACATTTAGGCCAGAAGATCGAAAATACGAGCAATGCCACCAAAAACCTTTGAAGGGATTTTTAGTTGGAAAATTCATCGGTTGAGAAACGGTAGGAAAAGTCAATAAACTGCAAAACTTCTTAGAATAATTGTCACATTCATAGTTCATATTTTTGTAGTCTATGACTTTCCTTGAAATTGTTGGATTAATTTTTACTTTTTTGGATTAATTATTTAACCATTAATAAATTAATTAAATAATTAATTTTTAAATTTTATAATCCCCAAACTGGGACATTTTTCCAAACGTCAAGTTCTTCACAACAAATTCGACTTTTTTATTCTGCTGCCCCCAATTAGCCAGAAAGCCAATCTTCACTTCCTTGGTTCCAAATTTGAACCGGTTATTTGTATGCTCGAACAAAGAGTGTCCAGATACTGCATCTTCGAAATGAGTCCAAGAAAAGGGTATATCTTTGTTACACAAAGCTGCGTGCACATGTTTGGACACATGACGGTGAAGACACGCTTTTGTGGTTCCAAATTGAAATTGGATAATTTTGTCGACTGGTTTCTCGAGCTCGATTTCAGTCGCCGTCTTCCGAACAATAGAGTTTTTGTCAACATCTCTGCCAGGAAGTTTCCACACAGCGCCATCGAAGTAGAATGCAAGTCGGTTATTAGCATTGGGATCCCATTCGGATCTGTCTTCCTGGATTGAGATCTTCTTTCTGTCGTCGGAGATTCCGAGCACAGTAACTGGAGGGTAGTTTGGAACCCTGTTACTTCGAGCACCTGTGATTGAAAGGAAAAACATTGACAACAGACAGTTGGAAAAAATGAATGAATTCAAGAAAGCAGAAAGTAGGGATTAATTTGAAATAGTTTTCAGAGAATTTTTCATGATAGTCACTTTTTGATAAAGTTGAGAGCGAGCAAGTTTTCAGACTTTTCCCCCGCTTGGATAAAAAACGTTAGTAAGAGAAACATTTAATAAATCTGATTTAAAAATGTCTTCACTTAACTCATTGACATTGGAAAACATTGAATTTCCAATTAAAACACAATTAATTACTAGATGCAAGCGAACAAAAAATGTCTGTCAAAATTGTCTCAGAGTTGAGCTTGAGGGTTATAGACTTAACACATGCCATAATTTTCCTGTGAAAGTAACCTCGTTGAGTTTACCTCAACACCAGTGCCACTGGCGGTATGTGATGGTCATGCTAACTATAACAATGACCTTGGCATTACTTTTTATTTACAAAAGAACATGATATAAATAAACCACAAAAAGTCTCCACTACACTCCTACTTCGACAACTTGAAAACAAAATAGTATGTTTATCACATTTACTGCGACAAAGTCATTTAGATTCGAAAGTTCCGTTAAATTTGTGTCATTAGTACCCTCGGTACTATAAGGCGAATCTGATCCCCGTATCTTCTCCCCTTCAGAGGAAAATTAAATTCTTTAAGTTTTCCAGCTCCTCCAAGATTTGCCGTTGGTCTTCTTCCATCATGCTGATAGCAGACAATTCGTCGGCAATGTCCAATTCATCGTTTGCCTTTGCCATTGAAACACTACACACGCCGCTGATATTGGCCAAATCCTCTGTTCGAACGATAAAATAAGATGCCATTGGGTCACGAGACTCGTCGATGGTACTGGTCAATTTTGCGGTTTCAACAATAACATCTTTTCAATCCTCGGTTCTGATCTTTTTGCTCGTTTCACTTTTCAAAAACGCTCTTTGCTCCAATTGAGCCCACGACTCTACTGATGCTGTTTCCTCCTGCGGTACACTATCCTGGTCAGAAACTGTCCGGTGACTCGTAACTTGAACTCTTTGCAAAATCGGACCGGATACCCCTGAATTCGAATCAATACGTTCCAGTAACTCCTGGCCTGCTCTGTCTATCGCCTCCCGCGTTCATTGAAACTCCGCTTGTGCAGTGTCTATTTTTTCCCAGTGCTGGAGTTTTATGGCTGTTTCGAACTATAGCCTCTAGTCTTTGGTGAAAAACCTGTGCTCTGTATCCATCGATAGTGTTTTCTTGCTATCCGTAACCGGAAATACTTCTTTTGGTGTGCTTGACGATCCTGCATAGCTTGTCCAGGACATCATCAGCTTGTCCAGGACAAACGAACAGAGACTGATATGTCTTCTTGCATAGAGTCCTCGCCCCAAAAGAATCTACAAACTTCGCGGTCAAAGTATGTATCTTCTGCGTTGCAATTCTTCGGGGTAGGGATTTCATTCGGGGTACCATCTTGACTTCTGGCGCAAGTTATCCAATCTCCCGTATTATGAATCCCACCCCTGGGTTGACTGAACATTTTCAGTACCAACAGTCTTGGTGCTGCCTCGGGCAATTCGTTGCCTTCATCATCAGAATCGTTTCGCGTGGATACTACTTTCACAGTTTGTTGCTCGACTGGTATCGCACTCGTGAAAAATCGTTCAGCCAGGAGTTTAGGTTGCTTGCGTTCTCTTAACGGTCCAGTTTTGTCTTTTCATACCTGTTTTGGCTTCCTAATCGGAGACTGGCCTCCTGGGCCCTTGGCGGACTACTGAAAGATTCAAACTTGACAACATCTGGCGTTGTCAGCGTCGCCTCCCTTCCTCCTTCCAATTTTCTGTGATATCAGCTCTGCAGCACTTCAAGTCAGTCAGTCGAGCAATGCTCTCCTAATTGACTATCTTCTACGTCTTCGGCAGATGACAACACAATTGGGCTATCTGTGGTATCTTGTCCAGTATCTTGTCAACTTTCTCAATTTTCGTTAATCGCTGTTCAGATTACCAATCAACCGACTGGGTAGCTCGGTAGCATTGAAGTAGTTTTCTGTTCTTGTTTTGGGTTCGGTTGCCAACCACAGTTGACTTTATTGGCGTAAGGCTATCAGATGAACTATCGATGATGATCGGATTTTCCGTACCACTACTATGTATGACATCCTCTTTATCATCCATGCTCTCCTGAGTAGCTCGTAGAGCGGCTTCCTTTTTCTGGTTCCATGTACTGCCTCCTGGTACCTTTGGTTGGCGTTGTTGGTTGAGCCGAACTATCTAGTCCCCAATCATCCGATGGTTTTTGGCGTAAACTTATCGAAAGGGTAGTTTTGTGAACAACCTTCTCCGAATCCAGAAAAAACCATTTGATCGATTTTTCGGACTACTTGCTCCGTTAAAAAGTCATAAAAAGGTTCGGATTTTAAGCGGTCCCGAAATAAATTGTAACCTTGTTGTTGCGCCGTGAAAATACGCGCTGTGTTTGTTCCCCTAATGATCCCATGATCCCTTCTGATGAGTTTCTCATGAACTCAATTCGAGCCGCCGTCTGCTTGAATATAGTCTTGCATAAACTGAGCGGGAAATAACTTCTTGTTTTCATCTGGGAAGTACAAAACACTCTTCCAGGACAGGTTACTTGACGAGGCGACACGTGCAACCGTATACCAAAACTTGTTTACTTTTTAATCAAAAAGTGCCTCCATTGGATAACAACCTAAATATTGATGTGTAGTAGTTCGTATGCTATATAGAAAATTCAGTGCCTGCTGAAAGGAACATGCCAACAGTCGTTCTCTCAGGGTACAGATCAATCGCTCGACCAAACCGTTGGCCCTGTGTTGACTCACGGGATCATTAATTATTTTATATGATTTCTAGTACAGAATTCGCCGTTTGAATTGGCTACAAATCAAGTCCTTTGGTCTGTTATACTTGCCCTCGGTGTTGCATGTTTGGCAAAACAGTTTTCCAGAAAACCTTGGATTATTTTCGTGGTCGTTCCTGTCATTATTTGAACGGACTGAAATTTCGAGAATCTATCGATGCACGTTAGTAGATAATTGTTCGCGCCCCACACCACGGGCAATGGGCCAAGAAAATCCACTTGTTTTTCCTGATTCGGTTCTTCCAATGTATCTTATTCAGTTTTATCGTTGTCCGAAATGATTGATTTTAAGTTCCTACCAGATATAACGCACTCGGTTTAAGTGGCTGCCGTTAACTGTATCTGTCTGTTCAAGTGCAGCCACCAGAAATAATTGCTTGCCACGTCTCTCCTCTTAACCATTACCAAATGTTTTTTGTGAAGACGGATTATAATCTGAGCTCTGAACTCTGGCGGCAATAAATTTCGGTCTTCGAGGAATAATATGCCTTTTGAGGTATACAATTAATCCAAATGATGTACAAAATAAGGGCCTAGGTTTTGAAAAAGATCGAGATTATTTGTTTTTAAAGCTTCAACAACACTATTCAAATTCTCATCCGCCTTAGTTAGTATTGCGATAAATTCAACATCAAAAAAATCCGACGAAATCAAATAAAAAGGCAGTAAGCACAATCTGATGGATAAGGGAAGTTTCAGCCGAAAGCTGGCGAAAGGAATTGTTGCCAGAAACGTTAATTCAATGAATTTCACGGGCCTCAAGCCCTTGGTTAGAAGCTGACTCCTATGGTGATACTTCGGCCATCCTTAAAGAATTTATCAACTCACAATTTCGATAGTGTTTAGTTCACTCTTAATTTTTAACACGAAATTTGATCAGATGACAGTTTCAAAATGTGTCAATTAGTCTTTTCGAGGACGGAATTGCTGCTCTGCTTTTGCACTGGTCATTACGTCACTTTGGTTGTTCAATTCAAAACTGCTTGCACTAGCTGACAGAAAATAGACGATTAAATGTTTTTGTGTAAATGTTTTTGTCTAATTCCAATAGTTTCGGGGATGTGCTGACGGGAAGTCGAGACAAGTAATCGACGTGCCCCATATTCTTCCCCGAATTGCGCTTTAGTTCGTAGTCGAATATGTGTCAGCAATTGACCCATCTCACAAATCGAGTTTGATTAATTTTTCTTTTCTTTTCCTCTGACAAACACGATAGCACTAGCAATGCTTTATGGTCGGTTATGACCTTAAACGGAGACTCAAACAGATAATTTTGATAGCGAGTTACCACCGAATCGACAGCTAGCAGTTCCAATTTGTTGACGCTATACTTCAATTCGGCCTCATTTGAAAGTCTCGCTGCGTGCAATACTGGATTTCAACCCTCGGCGTGTGAATGTTCCAGGGGCGCCCCGAGGCCCTGTTTCAAAGCGCCAAGTTTCGCTCGCGTAGTTTTATTCACAAGGACATGATGATTCTGAACAAAACTGCTAGCAATTTACTTCATTTCAGCAAAAGTTCTACTATGTGCATCCCTCCATTCGAAACGTGAGTGTTTTTTCTTAGGATCCCTAAAACGTTCTGTAGTAGCAGCTGAATTAGAATTAAACAAAAAAAAATGATTCATTGACCCAATCAATGATCTAACATCCGTTATGTTCTCGGGCTGTTTCATTTGAGCAATTTTGTCGATTTTCCGCTCAACTGGAACTGTACCTCCTTTTGAAAGTTGGAAGTTCAATGACTCGATTTCTTTTGCGAAAAAAGTACATTTAATTTTTTTTGCAGCTGCATTATTTTCATCCAACATTTTTGAGATATTGCTAATATCCAGCCAGTGGCGTTCATCTTAACCTCTGGTCGCGATGAGGCTGTCCAGGTACACATGCACGGACGGTAAATGCCATAACATTGAATCTTTTTTTTGGAAGCCATTGCGCATATCACCTAGTCCGTAAAATCCTGTCAAGAAACGATATGACCCTGTCTCTTATCCTCCGACGATGCTGAAGTTGCAGTGTCTACTAGTTTTCTCACTTAACGGCTTTTGCGAATATGTGTATTTTAGGTCGATATAAGAGAACCAAAATGGGACAAAAGTATTACCACTATTCATTAACATGACCTTCTCAACCAGTTGAATTATGTTCGGCATTTGATACCAATTCCGATAAATTAGCTTATTCATGATTTCTGAATTTAGGGCCATTTTTACCGTTCCTTCATGTTTAGCTGTACCAGCCGTTGGTAAAATACTGCAACCTTCGGTACACTTGCATAATTTTTTCGATATGCCCCTCTTTCAGTAAGCTTTCTATCGTCGCCTCAACCCTTTGGTAAAACGTGGACCGGTCGCAACGATTCGTGGAAATGCGTTCTGACTTCGCAAATTTTAAGAGCACCTTTTTGTTCAAAGAAGCCTTAGAACTCCCTAAAATTACACTCTATGTACTTACGTTTTTAATATAACTAGCCTGTTGACGATTTGTCGAATTTTGCTAACTTTGATTAAATTTAATCCAAGGTGAATTTGGGAGCCCTCGACTAAATCGTTTGTATAGCATTTTACCTCTCGCCCTTATCACTGCGAAGTGCAAAGCGTCGACCGATTTGAGTGTTTCTATCCACATTAGCTTGCGAAGATCCTCGTTTTCAATCTAAAGATGAACTCATCTCGCACAATGGAAACCTTTTTTTTAACCAAAATTGCACCCTCAGTTCAAATCATTCAGCACTCCGAAGACTTGTTCCGTTCCTTCTTTCTGCTTCCCTTTGCTTTTACTATACAGAACAAATCGTCAAGTTGTAACGTTTGGCATCCTATAGATGTTATCCACCACTAGCTTCCACAGTTCAGTTAAGCCTATCTCTAAAACCTTCTGTCTCTGATGTTTCTGATAGAAATACTGTTAGCCGTATTTCCGTAATTACTGCAAAAAATTTGATTCCAGCCTCTTATCCATTTCACCCCAGGTACTACCTTTGAATAGGCGTTTTTCCTCCTCAATCAGACGGTTCTCACTTCTCTCCACACCGCAATAGCTGCGTTCCGGCCTTCCCTTTCAGTTGGTGCCGCGTTATCTTCAGTTCCTGCTGGTTCTTCCAGCGTAGAATAAAGATTCTCTGGAAGAACTTTTCCGCCATTAGAACTTTTATGTCGATCTCTTTTTGTTTGCAATTACTACAAATTGGAACCTTTGGGCCCAATGTTTCCACAGTACCGAGGGTTCCTGCGATGGATTGTGCCAGAACACATCTGGGGCGCGGTAGCTCAAATTTAATGCTGACTGCGCCACGTGAAAGCGACCTCAATGTTACATGTTATCACAAAAGGTAAGAAAATGAACTTGAATATAAGTCAATACCAGCGTCACTGGCGGTTTGTGATGGTCATGTTAACTACACCAGTGACCTTGGCAATACTAATCATTTACATAGTAACAGAATATAAATATGTTACACCTAGCCTTCAGTCACTTGCAATCACAGTGAAGGATCCTTACAACCTAAAGCCTGCTGTATAATAAGAAAAAGTGTATCAAAAGTTTTTTTTTTGGCAAACTCGCTGTTTCGTTTGTTGATGAAGGAAAAAACGGCGATAAACTTGGGAAATACTCCTCTCTAACAAATTTTTCCTTCTTAGTACTAAAAATGAGTTTAAGCCGATTAGATTTAATACCCATTACAATAATTTAATTTTTTCACCTTATCATTGGTATCGATACACAGGGTTGTGAGGGGACTGAATGTCAATTAGATTTTAACGAGATCAACATCTTGTAGAAAATTGAATTGACTTCCTTTGCCCGGATTCTAGATAACGCTGTCTCTCATCGTCAATAGCAAGTGAAAAAAAAGTAAAGGCAGAAAAACAACTCAAGAAAGCGGTGCTAACGTATTGGTGCAACAATTTGGCTGGCAAACCAAAAAAGATATACGGATGATGCAAATGTATGATTACCAGGCCAAATTGCGCCTTTTGTGAATCCACAACCTTGCTACGTTTCAAAGATCTTCTCTGCTGTTTTGGATTCCGCGGAGAAAAAACTAAAACACTGTTTGATGGCCCCAAATCGCTCCAAAAACAGGCAAATTTGCGGAATCCGCAACAAAATTTGTGGAATCCGGAACAGTTTGTGGAATTCATGAACAAATGATAATTTATGCGTTTGGTAATTTTAAGTTGTTGTGGAATCCGCAACTGTAAGAGGAATCCGCAAATCGTAAGCGGAATTCGCAAATTGCAAGCGGAATCAGCAAATTGTAGGCATTTTCCGCATAAATTTACGGAATTAACTTACATTTGCGGAATCCGGATCAATTACCAATATTCGCTCGTTGCGGAATTCGCAAAAAAATAGTAGGCCGACAAAACTTACGTTACAGGTAATTGTACTCGGACTCCGCAGAAACTTACTTTTTGGAACATGTTTAAAGATTTCTCTGGAATCCGGGAACATACAGGCACAACAGTATGCGCCTATTCAGTGCACAGTTTGGCCTCGTAAAAAGCGCATTGTTCATAATTGCATTTATCAAAAGTATTTGATACAGATAATCAAGACAAAAAAATACATTTACGGTTTGAGAGGAAAAAGACATCACTTTCTAAGCTCAACTGGTTTAATCGAAAACAATTTTTAAAATTTAATAAACAACCCGGGTTGACCTCCATAGACCAAAAATGCTAATCATACGATTTCATACACTTAGTCTATGGGAAAATGCTAGTCATACAAATTTCATACATTTTTGCAAAATGAGTTTAATCGTATTTCAAAGGTGTTTTATAGTTGTTTTGGTATCGACATTGGTATCTCTTCATACAAAAAAGGAAAAAAAATGGTATGAAAAAAATGCTACCCATACAATTTCCATATATGGAAATTGTAAGATTAGAAATTTTTGTAAAAATTTTTTTTGTGAAAAAAAAGCTTTGAACAATCATTTCAACTGCTGGAAAAACAATTAAGCGTTTTTTGGGCTGCTACGACTGAAAACTTTGACTTTTTTTGTTTTCTGAAAAAAAAACACTAGTCATACAATTTCCATATATGGAAATTGCATGACTAGCATTTTTTTGATGGCGACGACAAAAATTTTTCTAAGTATTTTTGAAAATGCCCCAAAAAGTTTTTGTGTTTTTTTTTCAACCGCAAATTGATTTTCGTATTCAAACAAACACTTTTTGAAAAAAAAATGTTTTTGTATGCCTTGATCAATGTCTGGTAATTTAAAAATTCAAGTTTTAGAAATAATCATTTTTGAAAATTACTGCCAAAATTTAAAAGTTCACTACTTTCGTTATGTTATTTGTCTGAGACAGAAGTAACACATATCAGGCTGTTTCCAATGCATTGTTAGTGCGAGACGGCCAAACCGTTGGTTACTACGTTTGAGTAATCAAGGTTTATGTCATTTGTGTTCGGTTACGAACACAACCAAAAAATATTGAGAAATTAAAATGCAAAAAATCAATATTTTTGGTTTATGGAAAAATGCTAGTTATACAATTTCCATATATGAAAAAATACTGATCAAAGACCTTTCATGCAATTTTCTGTACGTATGGAATTGCATGGAAAGTGTATGACTAGCATTTTTCCATATATGGAAATTGTATGACTAGTATTTTTGGTCATCCCGAGAAGAACCCATAATTAAAACTTTCGTTTAATTTACCTGATATTGAGTATCGGTTTTCGTCGAAGCATTCAATGAAAAAATATGCTCTCGATTCTTCCTCGCCTAAACTGCGGGTGTCGAACGAGACCAAGTAGCTAGTGTCCAAGTCAATCGGCTTGAAGTCAGAAACAAAAGCAACTACATGTTGGCCTCTGAAGTACGCTATTTGCTCCATTTCACACAGCTTCAACTAACGGCCAGTTACCCTCACACTTAATAAGATTATGAAAGAACTGCTCGTATTGACCAAAAACACCAATTTATCATTTGCAAAATGTTGAGTTTATTGGGCGTTGAGCATATTTATTTATTCCGTCAAATATATATGGGTCTAGTTTCGCAACGTTCTAACTATATAATCAACCATCTAAATTTAGTTGATTGCAACATGCAACGCTCTTAGTTAAAGCGGCCCATCAATTTGATTTTTCGATGAAATCAGAGAAGCTTGTCTGTAAATGTTTTTTTTCTAAATTGTGGGAAATTGTGGGAAAGAGTAGAAGAGCGGTAGGTCGTAGCTTAGCTTAGCTTCAATAAGTGCCCTGCGGCTGAGGCTTCTGACTGGTTGCCTAAAAAACCGTCTATTGAAACTTTATTCAAACTTATTTTTGGATTTTTTTGACAGGTCTGTTTACGTCAGTTACATAAAACTCATAAATCGTTCCAAAAATTAAACCTCCTTAAACTTAACCAATTATTACTGCGAATATTTCATTTCACATTTGTCGTGTCGTAAAAATTTCATTGCGCAACTTTTCCTTGTTAGGTTTCTACATTGGTCTGAAGAGACATATTTTCGAACGGTTTTACCCGACACTCAAAAACGTTTTTTTTTTCGATGGAGCTGAAACAACACAAAAGTTAGGTTGCACTCCCAGACAGAAGCCATCCCAGATGCAACATGTGCCATTTAATTGACAAAGCCATGGCAGCTATGTTGCCACCATATGAGCACTTTTACTAGCAGGTTATCGTGAACAAAAGTGGACTTCGTAATTATGATAATAAATTCCTAACTCGCTTGCAAAAAATTACACAAATCATAAGTTGTTCGAAAACGTAGCGCACAAAATAGCGCCCATATTAATAATTGCACTAAAAATATTTAAAAAAATAGACATTTGGAGTTTCAGATTTCCTTTCTTCAGCCGGTTGTTTACTCAGATAAAAATTATATCAAGAAAAAGAAGAGCAATAACTCGTGGAATGCAATAACGTTGAAAGGATTTGAATCACACACTTTTATCTCCACGAGCATATGCGTCAGATGCGGATCTAGGATTTTCTCGAGGGGGCGGCTTTAAAAAATAATTTGAAATTTTTGACATTTTTTTTAGGTCGACCAAATTGATTTTCCGAGCTCTCCTAAAGCAGTAAAAAGACGCTGTTTTGGCCAAAACTTCCGCGCCGCAGACAAATTGTTGAAAAAAAAACAGGTCAAAAAAGCCGTTTTTGGGCATTTTCCGAAAATTTTGACAAAAAAATTGCGTTTTTTGGCGCGCGCTCCCACTCAAAGTTAGTATTCATTGGCGCCAAAGGTCGCCTTTAGAAATATTTTAGGGTCGGTCGGCCAAAATAGGATTTCTTAATTGCGGCGTTGATAAGAAACCAAAAAAAGTAATTCTGAATCACTTTGCGGCGTTTATAATAAAACAAGAAAAATAATTCTGCCCCACTTTGCGGCGTTGATGAGAAACCAAAATAGCAATTCTGCAGCACTTTGCGGTGTTGATGAGAAAGCAAAAAAAAGAAAAAATGCAGCACGTTGCGGCGTTGATAAGAAACAAAAAAATAATAATTCTGCAGTACTTAGTGGCGTAGATAAGAAATCAAAAAAATAAGTCTGCAGCATTTTCGGCGTTGATATTAAACCAAAAGAGCAATTCTGCAGCACTTTGCGGCGTTGATAAGAAACCAAAGAAAATAATTCTGCAGCATGTTGCAGGGTTGATAAGAAACCAAAAATGTAATTCTCCAGCACTTTGCGACGTAGATAAGAAAACCAAAAAAGAAAATCTGCAGCACGTTGCAGGGTTGATAAGTAACCAAAAATGTAATTCTGCATAACTTTGCGGTGTTGTTAAGAAACCAAAAAAAAACAATTCTGCAGCACTTTGTGGCGTTGATAAGAAACCAAAAAAATAAGTCTGCAGCACTTTGCGGCGTTGATAAGAAACCAAAGAAAATAATTCTGCAGCATGTTGCAGGGTTGATAAGAAACCAAAATTGTAATTCTCCAGCACTTTGCGGCGCTCGTAAGAAACTCAAAAAAAAATTCGAAAGCTCTTTGCGGTGTTTATTATAAACCAAAAAAATAATTCTGTACCATTTTGCGGCGTTGATAAGAAACCAAAAAAGCAATTCTGCAGCACTTTGCGGCGTTGGTAAGAAGTCAAAAAGAAAAGATTCTGCAGCACTTTGCGGCGTTGATTACAAACCCACAAAAAACAAATCTAAAGCAGTTTGCGGCGTCTAAAATAACCAAAAACTTAATTCTGCGCCACTTTGCGGCGTTGATAACAAACCAAAAAAAAATATAAGTCTGCAACACGTTGCAGGATTGATAAGAAACCAAAAAAAAAATTCTGCAGCATTTCTCGGCGTTGATAAGAAACCAAAAAAAATAGTTCTGCAGCACGTTTCAGGGTTGATAAGAAACCACAAAAAAATTTCTCTAGCACTTTGCGGTGTTGGTAAGTAACCCAAAAAAATCAATTCTGAAGAACTTTGCGGCGTTTATAATGAACCAAAGAAAGGTAATTGTGCACCACTTTGCGACGTTGGTAACAAAACAAAAAAAACTAGTTCTCCAGCACTTTGCGGCGTTGGTAAGTAACCCAAAAAAAATATCTGAAGCACTTTGCGGCGTTTATAATAAAAAAAAAAAATAATTCTGCACCACTTTACGACGTTGATGAGAAACCAAAAAAGCAACTCTGCAGCACTTTGCGGTATTGGTAAGAAATCAAAAAGAAGTGATTCTGTAGCACTTTGCGGCGTTGATGAGAAACACAAAAAAAATTAATTCTGAAGCACTTTGCGTCAATGATAAGAAACGAAATTTTTTTTCTGATTAACTTTGCGGCGTTGATAAGAAATCAAAAACAAGTGATTCTGCAGCACGTTGCAGGGTTGATAAGAAACCAAAAATGGAATTTTCTAGCATTTTGCGGCCTTGGTAAGTAACCAAAAAAAAACAATTCTGAAGCACTTTGCGGCGTTTATGATAAACCAAAAAAATTAATTCTGCACCACTTTGCGGCGTTGATAAGAAAGCAAAAAAAGTAATTCAGCAGCACTTTGCGCCGTTGATTAGAAATTTAAAAATTAATTTGCAGCACTTTGCGGCGTTGATAAGAAACCAAAAAAGCAACTCTCCAGCACTTTGCGGCGTTGGTAAGAAATCAAAAAGAAGTAATTCTGCAGCACTTTGCGGCGTTGGTAAGAAATCAAATATAATTCTGCAGCATTTTTTGGCGTTGATATTAAACCAAAAAAGTAATTCTCGAGCATTTTGCGGCGTTGGTAAGTAACCTAAAAAAGTCAATGCTGAAGCACTTTGCGGCGTTTAAAATAAACCAAAAAAATAATTCTGCACCACTTTGCGACGTTGATAAAAAACCAAAAAAGCAACATTGCAGCACTTTGCGGCATTGGTAAGAAACCAAAAAGAAATGATGCTTCGGCACTTTGCGGCGTTGATGAGAAACACAAAAAAAAATCTGAAGCACTTTAAGTCGTTTATTATAAACCAAAAAAAACTTATTCTGAATCATTTTGCGGCGTTTTTTATAAAACAAGAAAATTAATTCTGCCCCACTTTCCGGTGTTGATGAGAAAACAAAAAAAAATTCTGCAGCACGTTGCGGCGTTGATAAAAGCCAAAAAAGTAACTTTGAACAACTTTGCGGCAGTGATATGAACCAAAAAAAAATAATTCTGCAGTACTTAGCAGCGTTGATAAGAAATCAAAAAAAGTAAATTTGAAGTACTTTGCGACGTAGATAATAAAACCAAAAAAGAAACTCTGCAGCACGTTGCAGGGTTGATAAGTAACCAAAAATGTAATTCTGCACCACTTTGCGGTGTTGATAAGAAACCAAAAAAAAAACAATTCTGCAGCACTTTGCGGCGTTAATAAGAAACCAAAAAAATAACTCTGCAGCATTTTTCGGCGTTGATATTAAAACAAAATTAATTCTGCAGCACTTTGCGGCGTTGATAAGAAACCAAAGAAAATAATTCTGCAGCAGGTTGCAGGGTTGATAAGAAACCAAAAATGTAATTCTCCAGCACTTTGTGGCATTGGTAAGAAACTCAAAAAAACTAGTTCTGCAGCACGTTGCAGGGTTGATAAGAAACCCAAACAAAAATCAATTCTGAAGCAATTTGCAGCGTTTAAAATAAACCCAAAAAAAGTAATTCTGCACCACTTTGCGGCGTTGATAAGTAACCGAAAAAGCAATTCTGCAGCACTTTGCGTTGTTGATAAGAAACCAAAACAATAGTTCTGCAGCTTTTCTATCGGCGTTGATAAGAAACCAAAAAAACAAGTTCTGCAGCACGTTGCAGGGTTGATAAGAAACCCAAAAAAATCAAATCCGAAGCAATTTGCGGCGTTTAAAATAAACCAAAAAAAGTTATTCTGCACCACTTTGCGACATTGATACGAAACCAAAAAAGCAATTCTGCAGCACTTTATGGCGTTGATAAGAAACCAAAACGATAATTCTACAGCTTTTTTTATCGGCGTTGATAAGAAACCAAAAAAACTAGTTCTGCAGCACGTTGCAGGGTTGATAAGAAACCCAAAAAAATTAATTCCGAAGCAATTTGCGGCGTTGATAACAAACCAAAAAAAAGTATAAGTTTGCAACACGTTTCAGGGTTGATAAGAAACAACAAAAGTAAGTCAGCAGCACTTTGCGACGTTGTTAACACATTAAAAAATGAATACTGCAGCACTTTGCGGCGTTGATAAGAAACCAAAAATGCAACTCTACAGCACTTTGCGGCGTTGGTAAGAAATCAGAAAGAAAAGATTCTGCAGCACTTTGCGGCGTTGATTAGAAACCCACAAAAAAAACAATTCTGAAGCACTTTGCAGCGTCTATAATAACCAAAAAATTAATTCTGCACCACTTTGCGGCGTTGATAACAAACCAAAAAAAAGTATAAGTCTGCAACACGTTTCAGGGTTGATAAGAAACAACAAAAGTATTTCTCCAGCACTTTGCGGCGTTGGTAAGTAACCCAAAAAAATCAATTCTGAAGCTTTT